CCACTCCAGTTCAAAACACTTAAAATAATTATTTGATTCCACAAAAGCTCATTTCCCTAGAAGGAGGTCATTTAGCAGTGCAAGAAAGAAACTTATTTCTCAAATTTCTCGGTCATTTCTAATATGACTTAAAAAAAAAAACTTTAGATATGGGTTTTCTAAATAATAAATGCACTAAAAATAAAATTTAAAAATTTAAAATTTAAAAATGTGGGCAATAGATGTTTCCAAAGGGGATAACACTAAACATTATATATTTAATATTTTGCCTCTCATCACTGTTCTTTCTCTGCCCCTCATTGTTTCTGAAAGAGCAAGAAGTCAAGAGAGTTGTCAGAAAAACAAGAGGGTGTGGTTGAAATTAGCCATATAATTGGACACCATGTAGGGCTGGCTTGCCTAACACATACTCGGAATTACCTTGTGTTCTACCAAGTCCCCGAGGCCCCAGAAAAGGGACCTATGAAGTAAATTCAGAAAAGAGCAACAAAATTTTTAACAAGCTGTGAGGCTGACTTATGAGGCACAATATGGGACCTGAGTATCATGTGGGTGGGCTTAACAATTCACTCAACGCAGTGAATGTCTGTGAGCTTACAGAGAACGTGATCACTGAGGAAAGGGAAGAGATGTAGTTGTGCTGCAGGTGACAACATCACAGTCCCAGCTTTTTATTGATTTCATTTTTAATACGGGATTCTGTGCTTTATACTTCTCCTGCCTGCTACAGAAACCAGTGCCAAACTATTTTACATCTTTTATCAAAACGAAAAAGATAAAACAACTAAAATGTAAGCCTTTATAAAATGTAGAAAGTTCTCTATATGTATTCTCCAAATGTAGGAGCACTGACTGCTAAGTCTTAAAAATAAAAATCCATTAACAGAGAAGGAAAAATGAGTCTCTAGTGCCACATCTGGGATAAGGGAAAGAGAGGAGAGAAAGAAATGAAAGAGGAAAAGTGAAATAGACACAGTACTTGCACCTTCTAACCCAGTGGAGTTGCCACCTTGGCTGGCAGCCAAGATTTATGAGTGTCTATTACAGTTTCTCTTAACTTCGCCAGGGGCTTCCCTGGTGGCTCACAGAACCTGTTTGCAATGCAGGAGACCCAGGTTCCATTCCTGGGTCAGGCAGATCCCCTGGAGAAGGAAATGGCAACCTATTCTAGTATTTTTGCCTGGAGAATTCCATGGACAGAGGAACCTAGGCTAAAGTCCATGGTGTCACAGAGTCAGACACAACTGAGCAACTCACACTTTAACTTCCCCAGACAACTCAGCTGACACGTGGTTTATTTCAAACACGGTATCACCAGCCTGTGTGCCACCCTTTAGACTCTGAGTGAAAGACTAAGAAAGGTGTGTGTCAGGGGCAGATGGGTGATGACTGATAAGAACAACACAGCCTCTACTGCTGCCAAGAAACAAATGGCCTCCCATTCTTTCTTACCTCCTCATATGCAAAACAGTGACAAATGACAAAACTTTAAGTGAGGCTAGCAGTGTCTCAAAAGGTCCTAAACCAACTGATCACGTACCTGTTCCTGAAGTAGATGCTGGGGATATTATGGAGAATATGACCTGCTCCCTGTCCTCAAAGGCTCCCAGGCAGGAGAGGGAAGGGAGATAGATGCAGAAACAGGCACATCATTATTATTCGATAAGTTAAGAGATATAAGAGAAAAGCAAGAGATGCCGGGTCTTCAGAGAGGATGAAATCTCTCCCAGCAAGGAGGAGTCCAGAGATGTTATTGTGAAGGTGGCCAAGCAGGACCTGACATGTTGTCATCAGATGGATCCATTTTCAATTGCTAGTTTTCTTCATGCAGAGGTCCTTAACCAAGAGCATCTATAGGAGATTACAGAGTGGACATTCCTTCTCTGGTGATAGGGTCATAATGTAAGAGATTAGGGAGAATTTAAGGATGACCCTTTTCTTAAATGTTAGAAGCTGGTCTGTGGTGGGACAGACTGAAAAGGTGACACAAAGAGAAGCAAAATTTAGATAGAAGGATGGAGTCCTCATAGCTCCGAGGCCCTGGTCTTAGTTATCTCTGAGGTTTAGCAGCACCGTTTCCATGTCGTTTTTATGTGAAATACCACAGCCTCTGCCTAATAAATGTGTCTTTCTGAAACTAGCTCGTTTGGTTTTTATCACTTGCAGCAATCAAGAGACTTAAACCATAACACACATTAGCAATGACTTGACATCTTCCTTGTCTGACAGTTACCTTTCTCTTCTCAACCTCCCCCTTTCCAAGAAGAGTCAGCCCAGTCTTAGCGCTGCCAATTTCTCCTTGTTCTGTCAATTCATACATTGAAAATTTAGCCAGTATTCCCGCCTCCTGGTTAGTTGTACTCCTACTTGTTCCATATCAAGGTTTCCCAAAGCCACTTCCCATTTCCAAGTATTCAGTACATTGAAATGCTGTCTACCAAGAGCCTTCACCAGAAAATCCAACTGAGTGGGTTGAGGGTGGGGTCCAAAAGTCTATATTTTTCATATACAATGGAATATTACTCAGCCATAAAAATAATGAAATCATGCCATGTGTAGCAACATGGATGGACCGAGAGATTATTGTATTAGGTGAAGCAAGCCAGACAGCAAAAGACAGATATCATATGATATTGTTTATATGTTTATATGTTTATATGTGGACTCTAAACGAAAAAAATGACACAAATGAACTTACATCCAAAGCAGAGACTCACAGACACAGAAAACAAACTTATGGCTACCAAAAGGGAAAGGGGGTGGGGGATGGATAAATTAGGAGGCTAGGATTAACATTATACACTACTATGTATAAAACAGATAAACAACAAAGACCTACTGTATAACACAAGCAACTATACTTAATATCTTGTGATAACCTATAAAGGAAAAGAATATGAAAGATAGTATATATGTATATATATATACACACATACATATATATAGATATAATGTATATATATTTATATATGTAAAGGTATATATAAATATTTACATATATATGTAAATGTATATATAAATACATATAAATATATACATATATATGGCTGAATCACTTTGTTGTACACTTGAAGCTATTGTAAACAGCTACACATTGTAAACTGACTATACTTCAATTTTTTTTTTTCATTTATTTTTATTAGTTGGAGGCTAATTACTTTACATCATTGTAGTGGTTTTTGTCATACATTGAAATGAATTAGCCATGGATTTACATGTATTCCCCATCCCGGTCCCCCTTCCCACCTCCCTCTCCACCCAGTCCCTCTGGGTCTTCCCAGTGCACCAGGCCCGAGCACTTGTCTCATGCACCCAACCTGGGCTGGTGATCTGTTTCACCCTAGATAATATACGTGTTTCGATGCTGTTCTCTTGAAACATCCCACCCTCGCCTTCTCCCAGAGTCCACAAGTCTGTTCTATACATCTGAGTCTCTTTTTCTGTTTTGCCCATTATACAGAGCGAAGTAAGCCAGAAAGATAAAGACCATTACAGTATACTAACACATATATATGGAATTTAGAAAGATGGTAACGATAACCCTATGTGCAAATATACTTCAATTTTTAAAAATCACTATAAACAAAAAAATATATTTTTCAAAACACACCCTGGTTAATTCTGAGGTACAACCGGGTGGAACCATTGCCATGCCAGATGACTCACAAAGCCCATCACCTTGAAGAGTGTACTGAGTGTCCCTGACGTGGCACAAATTAACGGTTCAGCCTCTCACCAAGATTTCCTAATCAGTCTGCATGTCCTCAAAGAAAGCGGAATTCACAGAGGCTCAGAAGTAGTTAACAGCAGTCTTAAGCTGTTCAGAGAACTACTCTGAAGGGGCTGGGGATGATTTCATCGTGGAAGGTAGGTGTGGCGGGGGCAGATCTGGCCCCTTAAACAAGCTGCCTTTGATTTCCTTCATGTTGGAGAAGGATGACGTAGAAGAAATTTGCTTCCTTTCAAAGCCTAAAGTTCCCTCATAAGCCAGTATAATTTTCCTGAAAAGTGGCTTTCCAACAGGGCTACCCCCAAAGGAGGTGGACACGGTGATCCCAGAGGCAGCAGCAAAGCTGAAATACAGGACTGAGATGTTTTGAATACCGTCCAGCACTGTCACCTTTGGAACAAACTGTTCTTTCTCATGAGAGATGACAAGAGTTCCCCGCAGTCATTTTCTGAATTTTTTGAAAGTAGGTGCCAGGTGGAAGAGGATTTGATGTCCTGGAATGCCAGTTCAGGAAAGGAAGTACCTTTCCCAGTCCTTCCTTAATTTGCTGAGGTTTTGACAGGGCCTGAGCTGAAGCCATCTTAAACACCCTCACAGGCTCTTACAGAACTGACAGGTGCCCTTTCACGGGAGGCATGATACCACAGGTGTTTCAAGTTTTTTCTCTACAAGAATGGACATTTTTTATGTACCTCAGGCTCTCATATTTTCATTCTATTATGTTTTACTTGTATTTCTACCAAATCTGCCGAATTGGGGGTTTAAGAATCAGCGGGGCTTGAAATGATTATATAGAGTCAAAAGAACTCTACCTTGGGACTTCCGTAGTGGTCCAGTGGCTAACTCTCTGGGGTCGGGGCTTTGAACCCTGGTCCCCTCTGGGAACTAGATCCCACATACCACAATATAAGATACCGCGAGCTGCACCCAAGACCTGTTACAGCCAAATAAATAAAAATGAACAACAACAACAACAACTTTGCCTTTTGGCCAATAGCATCCCCCATCCTAACTTTGACTTCGGTTTTCTGCACCCCGCCCCCACTACTTTCTCCCTTCTGTTTCCGCTTTCCTCCCTCCCCCCGCTCCCCAGCTCTCCACACTCAGAGCGAGCGTGCCCTAAACAGTGACAGACTTGCATGTGCTTCCTTTATGACTAAACTCCTGGGCCTCTCGCCAACCCCCCACAGATGGTCGCAAACATCAGGCACCCCTTTAGGGGAGCCCCACGTTTGCAACCCGGCTGGAAACGGCCAGGCGGAGAAGCGTGATGGGGAGTGGCGGTGTCTTAGTCCTGGGGGAAGGCGCAGCCGCTTCCAGGAGGAAACGGGCGTTTCCTTCCCACGCGCTCGGCGAGCTCTGGGTCCTGGCCCCGGGCCTCCACCCAGCCCCGCCCGGAGCTCTGGGAAAAGCCAGTCGCCACACACAGGCACACGCAGGCCCCAGGGCCGCGCCCAAAGGAGAGCGGCACCCTCGGCCAATTGCCATGGCAACCCCGGGGTTCGTTCCATTCCCCACCCCGCCGGTCCCCCCGCCTCCTGCCTGAGCGGCAGCCAACCGGCTTGTGCGCGTCCCAGGAGCGCGCTATAAAACCTGCGCTGTGGCGCTGGCCGGGGGCGAGCCCGACCTGGAGCGGGGCGAGCGGAGCCAATCTCCGACCTGGAAAAGGTGTGTGAGAGCGACCCGGGAAAGCCTGAACATGCAGGGTGCGCAGAGCCAGAGTCTCGGTCTGCCCAAGCAGTGCCTCTGCCTGGCTTTCCTGCTCCTCCATCTCCTGGGACAGGTGAGTGGCGCACTCGCCAGGTGCCTCTGGTCACTTTCTGAGCAAAACCCCTGTTCGATCCCTGGCTCACTCAGCTTTCCGGCGTCCCTGATGAGAAGTTTCTCCTTCTGGTCTTGCCCGCCCCCAGGTCGCTGCGGCTGAGCGTTGCCCCTCCTCGTGCCCGGCCACGTGCCCCCCAAAGCCGCCGGCCTGCGCCCCCGGGGTGAGGGCGGTGCTGGACGACTGCTCCTGCTGCCTGGTGTGCGCTCGTCAGCGCGGCGAGAGCTGCTCCGTGCTGCTGCCCTGCGAGGAGAGCCGCGGCCTCTTCTGCGACCGCAGAGCGGACCCCAGCGCCCAGACTGGCATCTGCATGGGTAAACCTGCCCCCACCCCGCCACCTGACCTCTTGTCTCTCCATAGCGGAACTGTCCCCTCTTTCCTCTCCTCTCTTTGTTCCCCGAGGGTGATGCGCAAGTACTAATAGTGATGCCCTAGTTGATGTTTACGGAGCACCTGTGCCAGGGTTGGTCTGGGGTCTCGTGGGGTTTGGGGGAGAGCCAGAAGCTCGAAGGAAACCTGCCCTCCTGCGGAGGTGAGAAGCGTCGGTCACTTGCCTCCCTAGAGAAGAATCCAAATAGACCGGGAGCAGAGCAGAGTTAAGGGCCAGTGAAGTCATTTCCTATCCACGTTTCCAGGGGACGCTTGGGGGGTGATGGAAACCTGGGCTTACTCACAGGCTCAGAGTTCCCCCAACTGTAGCCATTCCGGCTTGTTTTCACACCTGTCATTGTCCCGTCTGAGCCAAAGCAGCCCCTCCTCTTCTGGGACTATGGAACCCCTGTCTGAGTTGTGAGTAAGATCAAGCTGGTGAAACTCAATGAGTCCGGGATCAGTTTCCCACCTGGTGTACCATTTAGTTGGAGGCTGTCCCCACTTCCCTGGATGAGGGGACTTGGGATAGTCTTTTAGCTTCTTTTCTAAACTAGTGATGATTTATTGTGCTGGAATGCCAAGGAATCTGAAGGCTTTCCCAGTTTGCCCAGTTAACCTGTTTGGAGACTGAACTCTGTTTTTCTTTTTCATTCTGAGCTCCTGGAGTAGGAGAATCTAAGGAGGTTCTTGCAAAATGACCTTTTCATTGGGAGCAAAAGCTGTGGGACCTTGGGAGTGTCACTTCACGGTTGGGCCCCTCTTTGTCCATAACATGAGTGGCAGGACTGGGTGGTCTTGAGTGTTTCTTTTTCCTCTGGGAAGCTGCATGAGGACATCTCTCTACTGGTGATAGATCAGCAACCAGATGCCTTCAACTAGAAAAAAGAATGAATTGGGGTTGTGCTGTGCATCTTCTATAGCTTCGCCAGTGCATCCTGTTCTTTTTTTTTTTCTCTCCCCTTCCCTCTCGGCTCTTCTTCCCCAAGACTCTTTACCACCCTATTAATAATCACTGTAGCCCGCCAGGCTTCTCTTTCCATGGGATTTCCCAGGCAAGAATACTGGAATGGGTTGCCATTTCCTTCTCCAGGGGACCTTCCCGGCCCAGGGATCGAACCCGGGTCTCCTGCATTGCAGGCAGGTTTTATACCGGCTGAGCCGCCAGGGAAGGCCCTTCCTTCTATGTTCTTCTTCCCCATTATTCTAGCGGTAGAAGGAGACAACTGTGTGTTCGATGGAGTCATCTACCAGAGTGGGGAGACCTTCCAGCCAAGTTGCAAATACCAGTGCGCCTGCCAAGATGGACAGGTTGGCTGTGTGCCCCGCTGTGAAGAGGACCTGCTACTGCCCCAGCCCGACTGCCCAGCTCCCAGAAAAGTTAAAGTGCCGGGGGAGTGCTGTGAAAAGTGGATCTGTGACTCCAATGAGACGGGGACATTAGGGGACCTCCAGACCCTTCCAGGTAAGAAATTCAACATATCTGAATTTAACAGTCCCAGCACAGGAAGTATGTGTGCTCTTTGGGATTTGTAGTGAGAAAGCGGTTTCAGTTTCTGGCCATTCATTCGTGGAGTCCAGCTGGCCCATGGAGATTAGACACATCACGTGTGGGAATCCCAGCCAAGTTATTGAAGTATGCACACAGCCTCTCCTGAAGAAGAGTCATGCTCAGTGGTTCTTTTGAGTCATAGGAGTGATTTTTGTAGTCTTATTACATGACTACTATTTATATTTTAGTTTGTCTCACTTGACCCTTATTAATATTGCAAAGGTATGTTTTGGCAACTTTAGCAAAACACACAATTGATACAGCTTCTATATTTATGGCAAGAGTCAGTTTATGTGAGTCACTCAGTCATGTCCAACTCTTTGCAGCCCCATGGACTGTAGCTCTCCAGGCTCCTCTGTTCATGGAATTCTCCAGCCAAGACTATGGGAGCGGTTAGCCATTCCCTTCCCCAGGGGATCTTCCCGACCCAGGGATTGAACCCAGGTTTCCCACATTGCAGGTAGATTTTTTACCATATGAGCCAATGGGGAAGTCCGTCAATTCAAGGGGAATGCTTTTTAGGTCATTTGCAAAGGGCCTGGTGATAGCTCTTTCTTTTCTGGATTCTGTCAACTACCTGTGCACTCTTAAGACTATCTCCCCTAAGGAATGCCATCCCTGGACAAGTGTCACAGAGAAATGCCACCTTTCTAGATGCTGTAGGAAGGATCAAGTAACACTTTAGGATCTTTGTTTGCTTTTCCTTTTGTTTTGGCTCATAAAGGAGATGACTTTTTTTTTTTTTTGGAAGAGCAAAAATTCAAGATCCAGTAGAGAATATTTTGGAAGCCATTAGTCAGCCAGATTATTTACACTGGCAGGACACAGAACTTTACAGTCTTTCTGAAGTCAGGAATTATCAGCCATGCCTTACAGATAGGAAAATTGCCATGTAAGGGAGGAGATGTGCCCAGCATATTAAGGCCAGCATATTAAGTATTGAGACTGAACTGTCTGAAAGTGATTGTATCCCTCAACCCAGACAACCAGTTGCACCTCCCTAAGGCAGAGTTTTACTTTCATCACTATTTTGAGTTGGTTGGTTCTACTTTCTCATCCAATTACAATTTTTAACTGATCATCTTTCTAGACAAAAATCACATGTTGAAATCATGTGATTTCAGTACAGTTTATGGAATAACTCTTGATGCTATATGGTGCTATATTCTTAAAACTACTAAGCGTCTCAAAGACGGGTTCTCCTAAACTCATGAACAAATCGGACAGTCATTCCACAAAGATTTCTTGAAGGTCAACTGTGTGCTAGGCATTGTGCTACCTGTTTGGGGCTTATAAATACAGAGTTTCAGGTATATCCCCTGAAAGCACCTGAGTTGAGCTGGTACCTGATTGGATGAAATGCTTTTTCTAATGATGGTTGAAAGGACCATTCTGCCATGCCCATGTTTCACTCAATAGTGCTGTCTTTATTCCAAAATCCCACAGCCTACAGGACAGAAGCCACTCTAGGAGTTGCAGTCTCGGACTCAAGTATCAACTGCATCGAACAGACCACAGAGTGGAGTGCGTGTTCCAAGAGCTGCGGCACAGGCTTTTCCACCCGCGTCACCAATAGGAATCCTCGCTGTGAGATGGTGAAGCAGACCCGGCTCTGCGTGGTGCGGCCCTGTGACCAAGAGCACAGGCAGCCGGCAGACAAGGTACAAGCTTGGGGAAGCCTCCCATGACAGGGGGTGGCCTTGCTCACTGGGCCCTGTGCATTAGCAAATCTCTGTGATGTTAGTTGGCTCTGCGGTCAGCTCCAGTAGAGGAGTTTACCCTTTTTTTTTTCTCTCTTTAATGTATTGAAATATCCTAAGCAACTCACAGCAGGTAAAGAGGGAGAGGTCAGGAACTTCCCTAGTGGTCCAGTGGTTAAGACTCCATGCTTCCATTACAGGGGGCACGGATTCCATCCCAGGTCAGGAAACTAAAATCTACATGCCATGTGGTGCCACCAAAAACAGAAAAAAAGAGGGAGAGGTTGGACAACTCTAATGCTGTCCCCAATTGAGAAAAGTCTGGCAAATCTCATTTCATCCTGGAAAAACACAGTTACTCAATGATCAAGCATGCTTGATTTTAGAGAGCTCATTTCTGAGCCCAGTTGCCTTCACCCTTTAGGTTTAGTCTGAAAGAAGCAACAGAGTAGGGACCATATCTGCCTTCCAAATCCCTCCATCCTCCACATCCTACCTGGGACGTACTGTGTGCTTGATAAACAACTGTGGATGAATAAATGAATGGGTGTCTGGGAATTATTTTCAGTCTTTTAAAAAGCCTAGTGCCACCAGTACATTTGCCAGGAAGAGGTGATATGTGCCAAATAAAATAGCACATTGCTTTCCTTTTTTGCTGGAATGATGTCAACTCAGTGTGTTAATGCTGAGCAGAAGGCATGCAGATCAGAAGCTCTGATTGGTTCCTGATGACATCACAGTCCTTGTTAGCAGAACCCGAGATCAGATAAATGCAATACTCAAATCAAACTAGTTGATGGACCCTTGTACAAACCTAAGGCCAAAATAAAATAGTCCCTAGCAATGAAAGATTTACATATCTCTCCACTGAGGCAATATCATCTCATGCTTAAGAGCGCAACTCTGGAACCAGACAGCCTGACTTTAAATCCTGGCTTCTCAAATGAGCTAGCTGTGGGACTTGGGTGATTTTCTTAACCTTTAAGCCTCAGTTCCTTCCCTTAGATAACAGAGACATTAACAGTAGCTACAGTTCCTTACTCAGAGTTGTCATGAAGATTAAATTCCATGAATTTGCAAAGTACTGGGCATAGATTGTTGCCCCGGCGCTCAGATGCTCAGTTGAGTTCGACTCTTTGCGACCCATGGACTGTAGCCCACTGGGTTCCTCAGTCTATGGGATTCTCTAAGAATACGGGAGTGGGTTGCCATTTCCTCCTCTAGGGAATCTTTCCTACCCAGGGATCGAACCCTGGGGCTCTTATATCTCCTGCATTGCAGGTGGATTCTTTACCACTAGCGCCACCTGTAAGCATAGATTACTGTATTAATATACATATCATTACTTGATATTAACCATCATTTTTGTTATTGGTAAAATAAGAGTCTCTAGTGGTTGCATTGTTATATGGCTGCTTAGCTCTCTGACTTTTTAAGATCCATTCTAACTTTATGCTGCTTCTACCAGTTTAGAAAGAACACCTGGAAACACCTTCCTCTCTGTTTCTGTCCCTTCATCTCTCTCTCTCACTCACTCACTCACACACACACACAAATGTTGCAGACCTTGCGCCTTTTGGTTTATATTGGCAAAAATATACACTAAGTATTATAAATATCAACAAAGAAAAAGCAAGAGCCTTTAAGTACTGTCAAGAACATAGTACTTTATTACATAAGGCTTTTCAATGCCATAACTTTAACATTTTGCTTTTTCTACTGTTTCTTTTTCCAGAAGTTATATTTTTTCTTATAAAAAATATAATCTTGCACCCAGTTTAATATTAGGAGATATTATATTTAAGATATTTATTTATAGTATATGTATATATTTCATTAAAAGTCCAGCAATGTGCTCAGAATCTAGGGAAATGCTAGCCCAATAATCATTACTTCCTTGTCACTGAAAGATTCTTAAATATGAAACAGTGCTTCTGTAAGTGTGGTCCTCAGACCAGCAGCATCATCTAAGAACTTTTTAGAATTGCAAATTGTGGGGATCCACATCAGATCTACTGAATCAAAACCCTGGGTTTAAGGCCCAACAATGTATGTTTTAGCAATGTGTGTTAGTACATTTTCATGTACTCTTAAAGCTTTAGAGCTACTGATTTTAGAGAATTCCAGGTCTCATCACTCCACAATCTATGGACTGTGCCTAAAAAGGTAAAAAGCAGTGGAGAATTGTGACAAATTAGGTGAAGAAATCTAGGTGGGAAATTAACATATTATCAGTGTCTTACTGCATTATCAGTATTGGGGTTCTTCATCAATAATTACTAATGGAATGTTGGATAAATTCCCTAATTACCATGCCTTCCTGGAAAATAACCTTAAATCACACTGTCTTACACTTTCCTGAGGTCACAGTGTAATATCAGCAGAAAAAAATGAGCTTTGTGTCAGACAAATTCAATTACTAGTTGTCTTCTGATCACTTCAGCCTTCTGAGACTCCATTTACTTATCTATAAAACTTGCTCTTTACATGAATAATTGCTCCTGGTATGAGTGAATGTTGCTAATAAGGTTAAGTGAGTTAATGTCTGAAAAAATTTGAAACATTAATAGGCTTGCAGTGATGCCATATTTATTCCATTTCTCTTTATAGCACCTAAAGACTGTATTGGACTAAAACTAATGCCAATTTTCTTATGATGGCTTGACAAAGCAACTTTCTTTATCATGCATATGCTTTCACCTTCATGCATATGTCGCTTGGTCAAAAGATGGTTATAGACAATTAGGCATAGTTTCCACATTCTAGGTAGGAAGGCAGACGAATACAGGAAGCAGTTAAGAACTGTACCTGTCTGAAGGGCAAAGAATTTCCAGGAATCTCTTGGTTTATGTATCATGGCCCAGCACTTTGCCACAAGCTCCCAGGTATTCTGGGGGAAGCAAATACTTGTAGTGGACTATCCTGTTAGAACAAAATTAACATTCTGTTAGCAAAGAAGAAGGAGCAACAGATATTGGGTAGGCAACTAGCAAGTTATTCCATACGCCTAGATGGGGCCCTCAGAGGAAAGATGGCCATTTCACACATCACTCCTTTTTTTCTTTCTTAGAAAGGAAAAAAGTGTCTCCGTAGCATCAAGTCACTCAAAGCCATCCACCTGCAGTTTGAGAACTGCACGAGCCTGCACACCTACAAGCCCAGGTTCTGTGGGATCTGTAGCGATGGCCGATGCTGCACTCCCCACAACACCAAAACCATCCAGGTGGAGTTCCAGTGCTCCCCAGGGCAGATCCTCAAGAAGCCAGTGATGGTCATCGGGACCTGCACCTGTCACAACAACTGTCCCCACAGCAACTCGTCTTTCCTCTAAGACTCAAAGCCAAACGCCAGCAGCGAGAAGATATAACGTGTCCCTTGAGAAGCCTATCGACAGAGGCAAACTGCAGCCACCCACCATCAAATGAATATAAGAAAAATTACGAAGAATTATTATCCTCCTCTGAGTCTCATGTATTTTCTGAGGTCATATGAGGTCAGTTATATCTGTCTTTTTTTTATGAAGGATATGATTAACTGTAAACCTGGAATCAAGGTAAGCTCAGGAGAGTACTTAGGGATGACTTTTTCTTTTACATGTTTACTACACACATTTACTACACGTTTACTACATGTGAAAACTTCAAAATTTTAGAAATCAGATACAGATCTTACTGTGTAAACAGTATCACATTGTGCTCATTTTGTTATACACTTGTAAAATTTCAAGAAAAGGTCACTGTAATGAAATGACATGGTGAAGTCCAAGGTCATACTGAGAGTATTGTCATATAAATATTTCACCATAGATTGAGGATTGACCTAAGGGTTCTCTATGCAGCACTGTTTTTCAGTAACTCAACTCTGAACTTCAAATTCTGAGATCTGATGAAACATATAGTTCTCCAACTTGAAATCTGTTTTCTGTGTACATGGAAAACAAGCTATATCTACAATAATGGAATGCTTATTAATTAAGTGCACTGGTGTCATAAACTGGCTCCATTTCAGACAAGTTGACTCCTTTCCAAAAGAAAGAAGCTAAACAGAAAATTATCCCTTATACAGAGATGACCAGCCTCTATCAGCCCTCAGACATTTATATGTGTCTGGAGGTTCCTGGGGATCACTAGTTTTTTAATTCAGAAGAAGCAGAACCCATCAGCAGGGTTCCTCTTACCTTACCAATGAACAAACTAAGGCCCAAAGCACCTTACAACTTTTGATGACTTTCAAATATGCTGGTAGTGGAATTTTGAAAAAGAAAAACAAAATCGACATGACTGCAGTGGCAAGATACCACAAACTCCATGGGAGTTCAAAATTATTGAACAGATGCCCCAAACTTATCCTTGGGTCTTAGTTAGGCAAACTCATGAACAAGATATATGCATCTACATATGTTTATCTAACTTGTCAGGCTATAAGATAGACTGCAAACTTAAATGTATACATTCTTCTATTGTCACCCTATGTGTTCAGCTTTTCTACTTTAAAGTATTTATATAAATGTAAATTATACATTTTTAAAAATATTCTTTTTACTTTCGCTACTTGTTGGACATTACTAAATAAACATTATCTTATCAAAGTGTGACTCTGCTATTAGTTTTGTGCTTCTGAGTTGTTTATTGAAAGTATAAATTCAATGAAAATTTACCAATTAAATCAGATAAAAAGTGACAGCATCTTTTGAAAGCAAAGTGGATTCTTCTGGATGAACTTACAATTTCTGATCAGAAGGAAAACAAAAGACCATTGTTAATTTGGTGATCTCTATTGCCAAGGCCTCAGATATTCTCCACTCTCTTTACTCAATCCAGTATCTAGAAGCCTGATATTTTTTTCTGGACAGCCTTCGTGATACCTCCATATATTAAAAATTGAACTTGTGGTTGGACCAAACAAAACTCACCTTACTGGCTTCCTTATCTAGTTAAAGTACCCCCACCCCCATTCTCTCAATTAGCCAACTTAAATTGGCAAGAGTATCTTCTTTTTTTAAATTGCAGTATAGCTGACTTACAACATTATATTAGTTTTAGGTGTACAAATAGTGATTCTATATTTTTATAGTTTATACTCCATTTACATTTGTTATGAAATATTGGCTACATCCCCTGTGCTATACAATGTATCCTTTTATCTTACTTATTTTATACATAATAGTTTGGGCCTCCTAATCCCCTACCCCTGTCTTGTCCCTCCCTCCTTCCCTCTCCCCTTTGGTGACCACTAATTTGCTCTGCGTGTCTGTGAGTCTTTCTCTTATGTTATATTCATTCATTTTGTTTTTCAGCTTCCATATATGTGATAACATACAGTATGTGTCTTTCTCATCTTTCTCTTGGAGAAGGCAATGGCACCCCACTCCAGTCCTCTTGCCTGGAAAATCCCATGGACGGAGGAGCCTGGCAGGCTGCAGTCCATGGGGTCACGAAGAGTTAGACACGACTGAGCGACTTCACTTTCACTTTTCACTTTCATGCATTGGAGAAGGCAATGGCAACCCACTCCAGTGTTCTTGCCTGGAGAATCCCAGGGACGGGGGAGCCTGGTGGGCTGCCGTCTATGGTGTCGTGCAGAGTCGGACACGACTGAAGCGACTAGGCAGCAGCAGCAGCATCTTTCTCTGTCTATTTCACTTAGCATAATACCCTCTAGGCCCATCCACATTGTTACAAATGGCAGAATTTCATTCTTTTTTAGGGCTGAGTAATATTCTATTTTGTGTATGTGTATATATACATATATTGTGTGTGTGTGTGTGTGTATATATGCATATGTATGTATACCACATCTTCTTTATCCATTCATCTGGTGATGGGTGCTTTAGATTGTTCCTGTATCTTGGCTAATACGCTAAAGCTGCTGTGAGCACTGGGGCTCCTGATGCCAGGATTACCTCGATCAGCCTGCCTTTACTCAGTGTCCAGTGATGCAGAACCCGGTCGTGAGCTGGGCTCTCATCTGGGCAGCGTGAGGGCTAGAGTTAATCTAACCCTGTGTTTTAAAGTTTCTGGTTGATGCACTGGTTCTCTGGTTCTTTCATAATTTTTTTTTTTTAAAGTTTCCTTAATTCCTCACTTCACTTCCCCAAGCTGCAAGCCTTCTTCCCACCCATAACTTTAGCTAGCATCTATTTGCCTTTTAAAATAGACTAGAAAGGACTACACTGGATAAGAATCTACCTGCCAATGCCGGGGACACGGGTTTGATCCCTGGTCCGGGAAGATTCCACGTGCCACGGAACAGCTAAGCCCGTGCCCCGCTGCTGAGCCTGCGTGCTGCAACTACTGAAGCCGGCCTGTCTAGAGCCTGTGTTGTGCAGCAAGAGAACCGCCACAATGAAAAGCTTGTGTCCTGCAATGAAGAGACACCCTTGTTCTCTGCAACTAGAGAAAGCCCATGCACAGCAACAAAGACCTAGCACAACCATAAATAAATAATTTAAAAAAAAATAGATTGGAAAGCCAGTTTTATTTCTAGGAGTTTATTCAAAGGAAATTATCAAGGGGTGCTGACTTTGATTTCATACGTATTGTACCGAGCACTTCACCGTCATTATATTATTTAATTTGCATAATAATCCTATAATGCAGACACTCTTCCCCATATTACAATTGAGGGAATGTCTAAAATTTTTTAAATAAATGTTTAAAAGGAACTGGTGGACCTAGAACTCAGGTCAATGTCCTTCTGCTATCTTGTGGATCCCTGCAAAGATTATCTGCAAAACTATTCAATCCAATGTTGTTCATAAGAGCAAAATAGGAAGATTCTGAGGTCCAAAAGTACACATTTGATTAGATAAATCCCAAGACATCCATTATGATGAAGAACAAAGCAATATTTAAAATGAAAATGTCAGAAAATACTTACCCCCATAAAACATATAGAGCGTTGAAAAGAGTGATTTGTTTTTGTTCATAAGTTTCCATGACTTGAAAAAACTCTGAGAAAATGGGCAACAAAATATTAGCAATTATGTCAAATTGGAGTCATGTTTTCCCCCTTTTTGTGATTTCTTCTTGAACCTTTTTTTAAACTTAGGACATTTTTATTGTTGTAATTTAGTTCCTAGGTTATGTCCAACTCTTTTGCCACCCCATGAACTGTAGCCCACCAAGCTCCTCGGTCCATGGGATTTCCCGGGCAAGAATACTGGAGTGGGTTGCCGTTTCCTTTTCCAGGGGATCTTCCTGACCCAAGGATCGAACCGAGTTTCCTGTGTTTCTTGCATTAGCAGGCAGGTTCTTCACTTCTGAGCCACTAGGGAAATCCAACTTAAGACATACTACCTGTAATATGACGAGAACAGCAACAACAGGAAAGTAAAATAGCAAGTCTGAATTCATATATCCCTTCAAGCACAATTTCCTTTCACACCTTTGCCCATTCATCCTGCACTGCCTGCCCCTTCCAGCATCCGAAATGTTTATTGATTCATTCATTTTGTTCATTCAAAAAATAATTATTGACTGCATTTGTGTGCCTAGCATAGTTTTAAGTCCTGAGAATACAGTCATGAATAAAACAAACAATAAAATAAATGTTACTTTTCTCCCTGGAAATGACTTACTGTCAGCCCCAGCAAGCAAAAAGCAGTAAACAAAAAGTCAAAGAAGATTATTAAACTAAGGTGACTTAATAGTTTCTGGGTGGGTAATTTAGCTGGAGGTAGTAAAGGTGTTTCTTTCTGAAGAGGTAATATTTCATCTTACATTTGAATCACCAAGATTAGGAGAGAGAATCTTCCAGCCTGAGATAACAGCTTAGGGCAAAAACAAAAACAAAAACAAAAACCCAGCATCTGGAATAAGCTTGGAGCTTCATTAAAAAATATCCAGGTGGCTGGAGCAATATGGAGGCAGGTGATGATATAAATGCAGGGACTTGCCTATATCATCCTAGCTCTCGCATCATTTACAACTAATTCTTTAAAAATCCCATTACAATGAGCATCTTGAGGCCAACAATTTCAGTCCTTCTTTGAAAAGAACTACCTGGGCTTTCTCTGATGACTCAACAGGTAAAGAGTCTGCCTGCCATGAAGGAGACACAGGAGACGTGGGTTCAGTCCCTGGGTCAGGAAGATCCCCTGGAGAAGGAAATGGCAACCCACCCCAGTGTTCTTGCCTGGGAAATCCCACGGACAGAGGAGCCTGGGGAGATACAGTCTAAAGGATCACAAAGAGTTGGACATGACAAAGCATGCTTGTAACACAGCCTGGCATCCAACAGGACCTCACTCATTGAATGAGTGGATGGATGGATATATGAATGAACGAATGAACTATGCATTGACAAAAGATAAAATGTTCTTCAAAATAG